AGTATGAAAAAGACAAGTTTACATTACCCATTCTTTTCTGCTAGTTCACCAAAAAGCATTGTTGTTGGTTCAAGGAGTTCTTTTTGTTTTTGTTCATTAGTCCCAGGTTTTATCTTGCCTCGCACCATTCTTTCATTCTCCTAATAAGTCAGAAAAAAATAATTATACAGTGGAAACAGTATACCGTATTTACCCGTGTAATGCACACCCCTGTGTAATACGCACCCTAATTTTTGACCACTTTTTTCTTCAAAAAAAAAAAAATTTTAAGACAGACACCAAGCATTAAAACTTCAATTTTGCCATTTAATTAACAGGAGCTGGGAATTATGTTTACAACAGTTTCTAACTAGCTCCTACTACAAATATTGCATCCACCGAGCAGCTATTTAATATACAAGCTTTTCTATTCAATAAAAGTCAAACATTTTACAAATGTTGTAACTTGAAGTCCATTTAACAGTGGCCATTAACTAAATGACAAAAGTACTCACAGGGCAGGGCTAAATGTCAGTATACTGTAAAGCTATAAAAACTGTGAATTAGGAATGTTTATTGTGTTATATGACCAATAAATTGAGGTGAAGACAATGACATGCAAGTAATAACCCACAAAAGCACAAACTAATTTCCATTGCTGCTTGCAATCTAGTTTTCTGCCTGATGAACTCTTCACTTGCAACACAGTAGTTCATAATTCCAGAAATATTTCTGGTGTTCATGTTTTTGTAAATTTCACATTACAATAGTGATCTAATAATAACATATAACAAGTGATTCAAATCAAAGGTCTTTTCAGTGATCAACGCTTTCAACGATGTTGAATAAACTACACTCAACTTACAGTTCACAATAAAGAAAGTCAAAGAAACTTCTAACATTACACTGCTAACTGTTGTCCTATTTGTATTGATGAATAATCAGAACTTAAAAATCTAGAGGTCTGCTCTATTAACAGGTTTCACTTTATAATAATTTAACTACTGCTATAATCCAGATTATTGCTTTCGCACATTTCCCATATAAATAATTATACACCTTGTTTGCCCCCCAAGATTTTGCATAAGCATTGTTTGTTATTTCTCTTAGGATGATTGTAATACTCAAGAGAAATGAAAAATAAAGGTTATGCAAAATTTATGGGGGCGGGGGAGGGGGGCAACAATAACCCTTAATTTGGCTATGGCCATTTCATTTTTTGTACCTTCCCTAAAAATGCCTATTCACTACTTTCACATTCCCATAATACACTTTGTTTACCCCCCAAAAGTTTTGCATAAGAATTAATTTCACCTTCCCTTGGGATTTACAATCCTGCCAAGAGAACTTGTAAACAATATTTATGCAAAATTTTGGGGGGTAAACAAGGTGCATCATGGTTGATGGGAAAGTAGTGACTAGGCCACTTCCGAGTTCCAAAAACCCTCACTTTCAAAATGAGGCCAATTGTAACAAGTGCACAAACTTTCTTGTGAAAATGAGTTTTATTTGCATGAGAATGGAAAATCATTTTCATATCAAAGGCTGAGCACTTAACGTTGTTTTGATACAGAGGACCGGAGGAACTCAGAAATAGCCTACGGCCTATTGCACAAATTGTGTTGATTTTAAAGGAACTATAGGTGCACTTACTAGCATCTTACCTTAGGGGCTGATGATATAAATTTTCAGGGGGGAGGGATAACAGTGCGACTACTGTAACGGGGGCCACAGGAAAATAACAATACATTCCAAGAAAGTTGATGGTAGGCCAATCAGAATCTGGTAAAAAAAATACATTACTCATAGAACAAAATTTAAATTTTGATAGCAAACAGTTTTCAAGAAAGCAAAATGTTTCACCAGACAATGTTTATCTATTAACACCCAGAGACTTATTTGTTTGACACAAGCTGTTATTTTGTCACCCACCAGCAATTTCCTCGCTACTATTCCCGCTCAATCAGTCAATCAACTTTATTAAAACACGGTAAAAGGCTCAGCAAGCTAGTTTTCAGACATGCCGTGTGATAAGGGAAAGTTCATTTAATATGACAAGGGGGGGGGATGAAGATATTGAGGGGGCTCTCGAAAATTTTTAGACACCGAAGGGGGGGCTCTGAAAAAAAATTGTTGCGCTTAGGAGGGGGGGGGCTCTGAAAATTTGTATACTTCAAAACCAACACATGACATCATACAGATCGGATGGTTTTCAACTCAACAATTTAATGACCTGTGCAACTCAGCTATATCACGTGGTTTACAGATATAACAAATGTAGTCTCAGTAATTATTACACTCTTGTTCATCCTAAAAATGCTTTAGAAAATTGTATCACAACTGTATCTCAAGTTTGTCATAGTATAAACCATTGAAGACAATAACGGTAAATATGTTTAATACAGTCTAGCAATCTTTTTTCAGGGGAGCAAAGGAATTGAAGGAGGAGGGGGGGGGGGGGGGCTCTGAAATTTTTTCGACTACCAAGGGGGGGGCTCCTAAAAAATTGAACCGCTAGCGAGGGGGGCTGCTAAAATTTCAAGCTTCGAGTTTCAATATCTTCATCCCCCCCCCTTGTCATATTAAATAAACTTTCCCTAATTACAATTTATAAAAATTAGGACTAGTGATTAACTAACAATAATAATAATATTAGCACAAGAATTGACAATTTTATCTGTTCCCATCGACTGTCATAAATGTAACTATCTAGCTTATATGGTAATCGAGACTAATAATAGAGGTCATTACAGAATCGTGCCTGTAGAAACGCGTTGCGAGTAAATGCAAATTTTTGTCAATCAAATGTCGCTCCTATTGTTTGTAGGTGGAAACTGGTGAAACATCGTTATTGTTTTAGAGACAATAGAAGAACAAAAGATAACAGAAAGATCAAGTCATGGGGTCTTGAAGCGTGTTGCGTGACTTTAATCAGTTGCAGCATTTCTCATAACTTTCCCGCATTAAAACATTGGAATGAAAAGTCTGAAGCTTAGCTTTTAAAATCTTGATAGCCAAAATAAAAAGGGTGCCCAAAAACGCAAGCATCTGGGAATTCAAAATCGACATTTTTGTCTCCAGCGAAATCCGGCGGATGAACAGTAATTTGCATATAAGCGTAAGTGAAGCGAAATAGATACAAATTGCCATGGTTGTAAACAGAACGTTTCCTCGACGTTTTTTCCTTTTGAAAGGGAAAATTCGCATGAAAGAACTCAGCTTGCACAAAATAATATAAAATGAAACAAAGCAAATCGAAAAGTGGTCAAAAAAAGTCAGGATATTTCAGTTCGATGGAAAGTAACTGATTGGGTAGGTGATTTGCATACTGATAAAAACAATTTCTAGCGCAGTTCAAAACCGTTCGACTTCCTGAATTGTTTTTCTGGAACTCTATACATTCTGCTGGCCTAAATGGTTAAAATATCTTATGAAGTCAAAATATTTATCAAGTTGAGCGTTTGCATTTTCCTATAAAACAGAGAGTAGCGCGAAAGCTTTGATCTATTGATTTTCTTAAGTTAAATTACCTTTGTATCGTGGAAACAATACGCTAACACTTGAGTCTTGAATCAAAGGACGCGACATGCGTCGGCTTCCTTTGTGAGCGCGCAAATAGTCATGGGACCCGCGATTTTGCGGGCAACGCGGATCTACAGGCGCCGTTCCGTAATGTAAAAAAATAATAATAATTTGAAATACAATATAACAGTCAGAAATGAGTATTAAAGAAATAAGATAAAAACATAATAAAAAGTTATATCCTAAGATATGGTGAGTTTAAAGCTAATAAGATCCCCCATCTCACGTGTTTTATTTGACAGTTGGTTCCAAGCCATTGCACCCCGATAAGAAAATGAACGCTTAAGAAAATTTGTTTTAGGTAGTGGTAGTTGGGGATCATAGTTAGAACCCCTCAAATTATAGTCAAGAATTTCAGAGGTTCTATGAAACTGCTCTCGAAGGTACGTCGGCCGCTCTTTGCAATAACATGCAACCTCACGTCAAAAACTTAACTAGCGTTTAAACATTTTTTGTCTCCGTAAACACTCTAACAGACCTCTCAGGAAATATACTTTTTCTTCAGCAGCTTCAAAAGGTCAAGTACAAGGTCATGTCTGTAGGTTGTAATTGGTTGATTTTGATGGCCCGCGGGGGCGGCGGGGACCCCCTTTCATATTTTTCATATGTGGAGTCCCCCCCCCGGGTTTGATGTTTTATGGTCATTTCGCCAACGTCCTGTTCGCATGTTGGGTCAGTTCCCTAAGTGCTTTCGCCTGATCAGTGGCTGAAAGAACGAGGCATATACATGCGTTATCGCACTTTTTTGTATCATGGCTGAGAGAACGAAGCATATACATGCGCTGCCAGTCCTTGTTTCGCTTCTTAGCGGAACGACATAAGACATTAGCGAAAGGGACGTTGGCGAAACGACTCGTAGGCGAAACGACCAGTCACCATTTCGATCCATGTTGTTGATTTCATTTTGTGGTAATTATGATTGACAACTAACTTTCTCAGTATGTATTGTTATTTTTCTATCATCCAATTGGTTGATTTTGTCTAGGTGGCCCCGGTTATAGTAGTCACACTGTAATAAAAATATTTTGATTTGCATTGTTAAATATTGTTGTCTAACATTGACACTGGAGAAATAGGAAAAAATTCTATCACAGTGGTAAGCTGGGGGAAAAAATTCACCCGAACTAGATCCCCAGCGCTCCCCCGCTGAGACCTCAATATAACCCCTAATATAAATTCTATGTTTCAAGCCTCATGTTGCTAGGATTGTACAGTGCTACCAGGGCATTATGTAAAGTAAAAGTAAACATATCCTCACGAATTAAAATAGTTCTTCCTTCCTCTGAACGTTTAGTAAGGCTAAAATTAAAAACAATGCGAATGAAACGGGGTTCGGCTGAAAACAATACGCTCACTAATTTTAATATAATAAAGTTACTGTTGTTGCTTGAATGAATGCGATGTTTTTGATGAGAATTATAACCCGATTATAGAGATTGTTAAAATATTAAACCTACCTCACTTTCTTTGTCTTCTCGCCAACGATAAATACGGCTCATTGATGTAGAAAGAAGATGTCCAATTCCTTGTTGATTTTCCACCCAGAAAATATTATCTGATTTGACGCGTAAAACATCAGCTAGTCGCTTCTTGAAGTTGAACACTTCAGCTGACCGAATTGGGCTCAACCACAACGGCTCCTTCTCCTGAAAAATTACCCCATTTAATTTGCTTCTAGGAATGTTTCTGTGCTCTAAAAAGTCCTCCACTGCAATTTCTTTTTGTTTTTTGAGACCGTTTAGCCGCAAAGAGTTGTAATTCGTAACATAGAAGACACCTTCCAGTTCGTCTTCTTTCCAGTTGTATTTTTTGCCGAAGGCCACGAGTTGTAGTCCTTTCATAGTGACAGGTAGTTCTTCCATAACCGAAGGAATCATGCTCAAAATACTAATAGAAGGTCTTACAGTCAACAAATGCGGTGAATTTACCACAGTGTCCATTAATCGTTGGCATAACTTCAGAGGTTCGTCACCAAAGCCGATGAAAACCAAATTAGGATCAAAATATTTGGGGATAGTAACGTATCTTCGATAATAGAAGCTATCCATACTATCGTCCATGAAAAGCCCCGCTCCGAAAGGAGTAGCCATAGCATTCAAGACCAGGGTCCTACTTGATGCTCAAGAAAACAAGGTAAACCGTACACAATCCGCTCCCATGTGTTGGATTGTGTTGGATATGCTTGTTCGATACGCTTCGTTTATAGTAAAAATCAATGCAAAACGTTATTTTGATTTCTCCAGCAACTCCCTCGTCCCCAGGGCTTTCCCGCGCTCAGAAATTTAGGAGACCGGGTGGAACTGGTGAAGAGTCTCGCCAATTCTCTCGCCACTGCTACTACGTAAAAAATTTTGTGCGATTTGATTGGCTAAGAGTAGAGGTATTTCAGCTTAATTTGAAATACCTACATGTGAAAATTACAAACCGTTTGCGGGTAGTAGTAAAAACAAGTGATATTTTGCACAAATACCACTCGTGATATTTCAAAATTGTCCCAAATTTCACTCGCCTAACTGCTCGTGAAATTACGTATAACAATTTCAAAATATCGCTCGTGGTGTTTATGCCAAATATCACTACAAATAATGCTATTACCTATACTACTTATTCTGAATTCCACGCATTTTTAAAATTTTGATTTAGTTTAGGAAGAGACAGAAGAGACGTATTTAACGTTGGTAAGCTTCATTTGTCACATGGCTTTGTAAATGTAAAAGGACTACATGCTGTCCAATTTTTAAATAACTGGATAAAAAAAACTCCGAGGACCGCCAAAATTGGACGAGGCTGGCAATATCGGATTAATTACCAGCTATATGAATAGAGGAGTGCTCACTCCTTGTTTTTGAGTAGGGTATCCTGCTCCTGCTATCTATGCTTTGGAACCCATAATCCGTCTGTTTCCCTTTGCAGCTCAACAGTCACATTGCGAAAAAACATCGTGCTGGAGAGCAAAAAATGCAGTGAGATCTTGAATGAAAGGAAATGATTGAAGGTGTTTTGAATGCGCCTTTTTAGGCCCCAAGCATTGTAAGGGGCCGTAATCTTCTCGGTCTTGATGGCGGAACTATGTGGACAAGAATCTCAAGATAGTGGCTTATTTGTCTATAGATCGTTTCCACTGTCACGCAACAAAAACGTAAATTGGAAACCTTTCAGTGGAAGAAGCCAAGAAAATGAAATGTTATAAAAGACTAATATATAAACAATTTGTCCAAGTCTCAGGTCTTTGTGACCCACAGTTTCTGAGTTATTTGCCAAAACGTTTCAAGTACCTTTGTAGAGCTTTGTATGGAGACGCCATATTGGTCTAATATGGCCGCCGGAAACCAACAAAAACATCTGGAGTTCTGTTTTTCTATAAAAGCTCTTTCTTTTCACTCGAGAACTGGTATACGTGCGCATAAACATATCTTTTAATAATTGAAATGGTTATACTGCTGAAAATCAAGAAGAGAGACTTTTTTTCAACGAGACAGCATTCCTATTTTGGTGTCACGCACCGTGAAAACTGGGAAGTTCAAATTGCTGTATTTTCCAAATGAAATATGCTACGGGAATGGAAACTTGTACAAAGATTTACTGTTTGTTTATCTTTAACCTAGTGTAAATAAGAATTCGTAAAAACCTCGCTATTTTGACTTTACAATTTGATGACGTCACTGTGAAAACCATCTATACAGAAATTGCTTGTTAAATGTTCTGATTTGGCTGCAAGAGTTTTTGTTTTATATGACACGACAAAGCAGTTTCAAGACTACTCCAATAATTAACTCGCGAATTCGCTTTTTTTACCGGTTTACCAAGCCCAGTCATAAATTCCGTTTCGTCGGTCGTCTCTTTTAAAAAGGGTAAGAGTTTTATTACAATTCAAAACGTTTTCTCAAAATTTAAAACCGGGTTTTCTCTTAAAACATTATGAAAAAAGGTAGGGTAAATGAAAAGGCAATGAGGAAAAACGCAACAGCCTTTAAAAAGTTGCTTAATATCTTTTTGAAACTGAAATGCAGTTTTTGTCTCAAACTAGCTTAACTCGATAAAAGTAATTTCTATTCCTTGACATCCAGGTTTTCAAGCCTTGAAGGCATTTCTTGGCTCAATTGAGGTACAACAGTCGTAAGTAAAGTACGTTCTCATTTTAAACCGGTATTAAACTTGTTGGTGTTAGTAACTAGCTTTTTCCTAGGGGTCTACATTTCAGTGGTAACCTGGTTTAAACACTGGTTTAATCTGTGCACCACAACACACCAAACTTATTAACAAAAATGACAATGGAAACAAAGCAATTCACAGACGCTTTAATTCAACAGATCATACTTGGATACTTTATTTCACTAAAGTTGAAGATATTATAAATAAAAATAGCAATAACATTTGCTACATGCCGGTGAGTTCCCCAATAATAAATACTACTGATACTAACGGTCCCATGATTTTAAAATGAGACGATGATGGTTCCGCAACTTCTTTCTTGCATGAAAAAATTTGTCCGCATTACTCGGTTGTTAATAGTTGCATGCGCCCCACCTGAATTTAAACGGCAAGATTTGCAGCCATACTGCCATTACACCGAACCGGTGCGTTGCTCGAGGAAACGCCCGTAGGAAAACATCAGATCACTTTCTCAGCGACTACAAGTAGTCGAGTTCGTAGACTGATCTCCTCAGAGATCAGTAGTAGACCAAGGACGATACGCGAGCTCGCGTGGAATTCGCGCTTGCTCCACTATCTAGAGCGTATCCTACCGCCACCCTAAGCCCGGTCACTACGTCTTTCGCTCTGCTATGACTAAAGAAAATAAGAAACCACTCGTCTGTCCTACCATTTCCATCACGCTTCTTGTTGTATTGCAAATTACGCCAATTATGCGTCGTTGGCGTCTTTCATATTTGAAACAACATCAATCTTTTTTACTGTAGCCGAGAAAAGTTTATGAAGCGACATACTAGATCCCATTGAAGTTCCTGGCCGACCTAAGCCTATGGTCTCTGCCCTTGTCCTCAGGTTTACTTGTGAGTTCCTAGGGGAAAATGTCTTATCGCCGCGAGTGGCTTGAGTATTCGTTACTACTTCGTTTACGCTAGTTCTTAGAATCAAAAACTTCTTAACAAGGACCTTCCAGTCGATAACGTCTTCGATTCGAGTATTTCTTTGACTGCTATTTCGATGCTGCGGTAGACCTCCGTTTGGAAGCCAAGTGTTTGAAGTTTCGTACAATGGATTCATCGACGTGCTGTCGGGAAGCTGTTCGTCAGTTCGAATAATGTCGATGATACTCGCGCGGCAACATTTAAACTTCAACTTGTACATCAGACGCAAGTAGGAAAAGAATTTCGTTACGAGATTCAGGGGGGAGGGGGTTGTGGTGGAACGCTTCATGTTACGAATCAACTTCGCGCGACCAAATTTCCACTCAATGTCCGACTGCATTTGAATACGTTGATAAGTATCACTCATCATCGCTATCAGCAGATTAATGAGGACAATAATTGTTATCACGTTATAGATTCCAAACGTAGCCTTTGCCAGTATAAACGTGGCATTGTCTATGGATTCCGGTTCTTTTAGCTTTGAAACCTCAGTCAGTCCAAATAAGCTGAAAAATAGCAGCTCAAAACAGCGGAAGAAATCCACTGGGGTATGTTGTAGTCCGTTTCCTGTTCCAGTTTGTTTCATGGGCCGATACACTGCTGCTAAGTGAGCCGTAAAACCCACCATAAAGATTGACAAAATAACCAGGAAACGAACGAGGTCATACATAAGGTCCCGGATGATAACTCCCCATGGACCGAATAAATGATGAAATGAGAGAAAATCCAGCAGCTGAGCAAAGCAAAGCATCATTGACGTCGCGAAGAACTGATTCCGAGCGTAAATGACGTCGATTCGAGCATCACCTTGAAAACCAAACGCTGTTAAATGAAGCAGAATGCCAATTGTGCTTAGGAATAGTACAATGACCGGGATCCAGCCCAGTCCTGCGCGATCATGTGGGTCCGTGAGCTGAGATAATAATAATCCTGATAACCAGATCAATAAAAGCCATTCGTACCACTGCGGAAGGAGACTGGTACCTGTTAACTCCTCCCAAGGGACCACGACTGTGAAGCTAAACAGTGCAATGAGGTAGAAATGCGAAATGAGATGACAAATAAACTTGATAATGGGTATCTTATGATATCGATCGTTCCACGGAAGGCAGAGAAACGCCCATAACGGTGGACATATCAAACACAGTATAAACAACAAGAAGTATTTCCAGTCGTCCCACTTGAAGTCACCGCGCCATACATCCCCGAGGTAAACTTGAACCGACGGGTGAGATACGCAAGTCTTCTGTTCACACTCGATAAGGTAATCCAGAAATGGTACATCGCGGTCATCAATAGCTGTCAGCAGTTTTTCAGGGCTGTCTGCGCATGCGAGAGACAGCAGCTCGGAAGCTATATTCTCACAAACTTCGCCAGCTGCCAATAAGTCACGCGCGCGTTCTTTCTCCCGCGTGGACTCGTTACGATAGTGTTTAGAGAGCTTGGCCGCGGCGTAGATTGGAGCGGGGCATTGGAGAATGAAGTCAATAACTGACTCGCTTTCGTTCAGGTTCGAGCAAACCATTAAATCGAAGAGAAACTGTGGGAAAACAACAAAAACAACCTCAATGACAAATGTGTTGCTTGCCTTGTAGACTCAATCATACTAGCACACCGCTAACTTAATAAGCAATTGTAACGGCACTACGCCATTAGGCTTTTATGATAGAAGATCACAGAAGTAAGAAGCTACACGCACCAGAAATACAACGTAAAATTATCGACATAGAATTTTAGTAAAATGAACCGATGAGTTACTTAAATGACAACTTTCTCGAGTTCCAGCCGCAATTAGGAATTATCATGTTATATGGACTATTTCTACTTCTTGTTTTGTGGAAGGGTAAATGTTAACAAAAATTTCTGTGCAAAAGTGCATTTGCTCCAGACACTTCGGGTCAACGTTTTCTTCCTGTAATGACCAGATTTAGAACCTGACCCGTGTATACAATAATTGGTAATTAAGTACCTTTCTGTCAGCTAGCAATCGCTCAGTGCTGAGCTCCTGTTGCAGTAGATACTTGACAACTGCAAGGTGACCTTGCATAGCCGCGTAGCAAATAGCAAACTTTCCTTCCTGTAAAGTAAGAGAAACGTAATAATACTACTAAAAAATGAATGAATGAATGAATGAATCAACAAAAAAGCGCATGACACAACTACAATACCCAACTGCGGAATACTTTGACTTTCAAAGCTGTTGATCTGTTGGATTGTCCAGTCACAATAAACGAGAGTCTAAAATTCGCAATATAATCTGCATAACATAAGTAGGCTGAGCATGATCGTCCGGGTGAACGTAAGCCTGAATAGGACTGTTATTGTTGACAGTGACTGACGTTTCGACAACCTGTGCGGTAGTCATCGTCAGTGTCACAGTGAGTTGTATCAAGTCAGTTGTTGGTCATAAACTTTGGTTATTGATTTGATTGGTCAATTAAGTGGAAATGTCATTGGTCGTCTGTCAGTTAAGGCGTAATGTTATTGGCTATGAAGACTCGTTATGTCATTGGTGCGTTTCGATCCGTCTTTTATCACAGTTCAACTCACCAGAGATTCCGCCCGCGGTGATGCTCCAGATTCGACCAGCAATTTTATAACTTCTACGTGACCAGCTTCGGCCGCCATGTGCATTGGTGCATATCCATTCTAAAAAGAAACCGAGGATTTCTAAAATCACATTAACTGATAATTTTTTAAAATCTGGCTATGTAAAATCAAACACACAGTTTGGGAAACATCATACGGGGATGAAAGGTGACCAAAATAATGACGTCACGATCCTGAAGCCAGGCCACAAAGCTTGGTCTATGTTGGTCTAAATATAAATAATACAAAAGAAGGAACGGATCATGGGGGAGGGGAGGGGGGGACGAAGTACCAAAAAAATATTCACGCCAGGGAAAATTAAATGAATGAACGCCAAGTAACCCTAGCAAGTATTTATACACTAGGCTAAAAAAATTCATACAAGAGAAATGTTAACGAAAAAAATTCACGAGGCTCGAAAATTCCCTACTGCCCCCATAACATTTCTAATAGTCCGTCCCTAAGGACATGTTCCTCTTTGGGCGCGATTAATTGACAATATGCTGAAATAAGAAGGGGAGTACGGGGATAGCAAGGGATGGCGCAGCGGTGAGAGCGCTCGCCTCCCACCAAGTCCCGGCTTCGACGCCAAAGTATCTGGTTTGAGTTTGTTGTTGCTTCTCTGCTTTGCTCCGAGAGGTTTTCCCCTCTCCTCAGAAAAATTCCAGTTCGACCAGGAATCAGGTAGACGAAGAACCACTTTGTGGATGTGCACCTCCAAATCATTATTTATTTATTTATTTAAATAAGAAAAACGAAAGGGATGTTTTTTGGATCAATCAGCGCAGAAACGTGCACTATTCAAACGTATGTAACATTTCAGTGCTTCCAAAACCACGATGGATGGAATATGTAACAATCTTTCTGTGGATTATCTTTCCGGAACACGAAAAACCCATCCGTACACGCGGTCGTCGACACTTACCTCATCAGGTGCGTTGATATCCGCGCCCTGTCCTATCAGTTGTGAAATAAGTTCTCTGTGTCCATTGGCGGCAGAAAGGTGCATAGCTGTTCTGCCCATCTTGTCCTTTACATGAAGCTGTAGGGTTGATTTACTTAATAGAATACTAACAACCTCTGAATGACCATTCTCTGCTGCCAAATGAAGAGGAATCGAACCCTACATCGGAGAAATACAAGCCCTAGTTAAAGATGGTTTCTGACTGCGAAGCGATAAACAGGAACGAACGCGTAAGCCTATTGGCCAAAACTGCTGAGAAAACGCACTGCGAACTTGTTCAGTAAAAATATAGTTCTTGTTCTAGAAGCACACAGAAAAACCTCGAATGAAAAATGACTAGCAGAGATAGCGGTGCCTTTTCCAGAAGCAGAAGTAAAAAAGTGTCCTCAATCAGTACCTTGTGCTGAATACAGAAGCTTTTTAACGCAATGACTTAGTCCAATTAAGCGAATGACGTGTACATTATTTACCTGTACAGCAGTTGCTGAGTCCACACGCACCCCTGGTGAGTTCAGTAGTAATCGAACAACACCCACGTGACCAGACTGAGCGGCTAGATGAAGCGGAGTAAAGAAATACTGAAAAAAAGTGAGATAATGATCAATGTTTCTACAGAGAAAGGCAATAAAACAGCACGGCGACTCCGCTGAAATGAAAGATACTGAGTATAGTTATAATCTGTGGCAATGTTTCCTACGCTGTTCAAAGTGGTTCTAACTTTTGAGTTTTTAAATGAAATCTGTTAGTTTAATCTGATTCAACTGAAAGATACTGGCCTACAATTTGCTGTAATGTTGTTTTAATTTGTAAAGTAGGAGTAACTATTGATTTAGTTGACGTAATACTCAAGTCGCTCTAAGTCCTTTTGGATTTGAAAAAAAGTTCAGAGAGGCTGTAGCCTGCAAATAAAGCTGCTCCCGGCAGCTGGATATGTTTTGGAATAGTCAACTTACATCCGAGCGCGGTCCTTTTTCATTTTCCACCATTGCAGGAGACTCGCTTCTTATAGTTCCAGAAACTTTGAGCAGCATTTCTCTGACGACTTCAATCTGACCATACTGAGCAGCTACATGGAGAGCGGAAAGGCCAGTCTACAAAAAACAAATCCATAAACAACATTTCTGCAATCAGGATAAATACGAGCTGAGGCTGAATATTTTGTAAAGATAATTTCGACTAATTAAGTCACGATCACCCTGAAGATGACTCAAGTCTGGTGTTTTTACTTTTTAAAACCTTTGAGCTTAGTAAAATATATTTCAATCTCACGAGAATATTATGGGCATTTTGCAAGGACTTAGTATCTGAGCAATATATATTAACTCAATTCATAATGTTGTGATATGGAGTCCCTGTTACTCTGAGGGTCAGTCAACTTAATACACGTGGTGTTTAGACTGATACCAGACAAATGGTAGTCGGCTTCATGAGGTCACGGCCAAATTGTTCAGTGTGAAAAATTGTAGTGAAAGAGAGAGAGAGTCAGGTATGGGGCTTGGGGGAACCAGTATCACCCAATCTGATTATCTCACGATTGCAGGATTTGACCTCATATGTTACAAGCGCAACAATTATTTCGCTTGCTCTATAGAACAAAGTGATTTCCACCTCGTTTATTTACTTACATATTTAACAGTTTTCGGCTAGTCGTATAAAAGCCCAAAGAAGTACAACATTTGCTTAAGGTCCCAGACTGAGTACGAATAAAAACATGGCAGTAAATAAGCATCTTTACCTTGACACTCGCCATGCTCCAAGGTACTTTCCCGCGTAAAACTTCTAACACGTCCACGTGACCAAATTTCGCAGCCAGATGAAGAACAGTCATGCCGTCCTACATGCAGACAAAGGAGAACAAAAAACAAACACGTTTAGTTATAGCGATTTTTCTTGCGCCAACGTTTACCTGAAAGTCCTTTGATAAGAAAGAGATTGGCATAAGTAAGATTACTTTTTTATGGAGTAGGTGAGAAGCTCATTACTACGACGCGCGCCTGTATGCGCGACGGTCTAGTCGGAATAAGTCGTCCACATCATATCTCGAGTTAAGAACGTCTTGTTCTTTGAATTTAACTCAGCACTGGATTTGGTACTCACCGCATCTTCGTCACTTGCTGAGGCTCCATGAGCAATCAACACTTCCACAACAGCTTTATGTCCTCCGCTGGCCGCAAGTAATAAGGGCGTAGCGAACTTACGCTGTTAACAGAATTAAAGTATGTCATTGAGAGTTTACTAAAAAAAAATTGGAAACTTTTCCAACCACCACAAATGCTTCTTCTGTCCTAACTAATAAACAACAAACTCTGTTTCCGGTGTTGATGTTTATTGCGTCACAGAGAATGGCTGTAACCTCTGTGTAAGGGAAGAGAATCCGTTCTCCCGTCATTTACCTTATTTCTTGCTGTCGTGATTCCTGAAGGGTTGAATTTCAGAAGTTCTTTCATCACCGATACACTGCCTTTCATTGCTGCGATGTGCACACACGTACTTCCTTCCTGTGTAACAAAAGCAAGAGAATCCTTTTTAGAAAGCACTTACTAAAGAAACTGCGTTGTTTAAAATATCAGTGAGATCCACAACAAAATAACTTACATAATCACAAGGGACGCCTCAACCTCTCTTGATACAATATAATGTACAATGTCACAAAAAATGTATGGTTCTCTTAACATCTAATGATACACCTCATGAGCAACATGTTGATGAAACGTGAAAGCTAATTGTACACAATAAATTGCTGTCACTTCTTAAAGAATGATGCCAACCGGTTCCATGCCTTGGGTTCTGCTTCCA